GCACATACTATGCAGCTAAGGAAAGGATCGTTCGCATTGAGTCACTGATCCAGACTATGATCCTTAACAGACTGCGCCCCATAGCCTTGGGTGGCAGTAGAAGGAAAAGTCAGAATCCAAAACTGTATGTAGCCCTGGCGAAGCACATATTGCTACCAACACTGTGTCATATGTTTTGCCGTCTCTCCCAAACACTGTTCCGTCACCCATTTACTCAAGCTTGGCAAGTAGTTTGTGCGTTGCTTTCCTCTGGCCCACTAACCTTTAATCAGTCCTGTGAGCATCAGATTTTCCAATCCCTCTTTCCTCTTTATGTTACCCAGAAATTTCATCAGGTGTTAAGCATAAATACCCTGTCTGTTGTCATTGTCTCTAGAACATCGTCGTTCCTCACATGTTCGGTCCATGGTATTCTCAGAATTCTAATATAGAACGACATTTTTGTTGCTTCAAGTCTCTTCATCTGTGAGAAGATTGTCCAGCATTCACTGCCATATATGAGGACTAAGGAAAGGATCGTTCGCATCGATTAAAACGACTTTGGTCGACAAGGAAAGTGGATCTTTTATATATCCTATTTAAAATAGTAGGGCAAACTGGGTTCTATAGCCTTGGGTGGCAACCGGTCTAGGAGCAGGAACACACTGAATTCAAAGCTGTATGCAGCCTTGGTGAACCACATACTATGCAGATAAAAAAAAAGATCGTTTGCATTGACTCGATGATCCCGACTACGGTCGAATCCCACAAAATTTGTTTTTTGTAACCATTCAATGGTACTTTGAATAATAAATTCTTGGAGTTCGACAGCATATTGCTCTATCTTCTTAAAAGAAATTAACTGTCTAGTCACTAGCAACTTGTATGAATCCGACATGCGATTTGCAGGTTGAGGAAACTAGAATCAAGCAGACACGGAAGTCTAAATATCTGGGAAGTGTCTCGACAGAGGATGGTAAGTGCGATACTGAGATCCGTAGACGTATTGGTATTGCCAAGGACACATTCCAAAAGGCTGGGGAGAGTATTGCAAGACAGGAGGATTTCTTTGGTAACAAAGAAAAGAATACTGAACTGTTACGTGACATCTGTCCTTCTTTACGGCAGCGAATGTTGGACGATTTCCTCACAGATGAAGAAGAAACTCGAGGCGACGGAGATGTGGTTCTATAGAAGGATTCTAAGGATATCATAGACCGAACGTGTGAGCAACGATGAGTTCTTAGAGAGGATGCAAACAAGGATGATGCTTATACTTAACACCAGGAAGAGGTAGGTTATGTTTCTGGGACACAGAATGAGGAAGAAGAACCTGGAGAATCTGATACCCGCGGGTCGAATAGAGAGACCAGGGAAAACAACGCGTGACATACCGAGCAGACTTAAGTAAGCGGATGACAGAACGTGGTTTGGGAGACGTAGTAGTGGGAAGGAACTTGTTGAGAGTTGCAAGGGATAGAGGAAGAGGTGGAGAGCCATGATCGCCTACGTTCTGAAAGGACGTGGCACATAAAAAGAAAAGAATCATCTTGAAAGATACTTCCACAGTGAAAAGAATGATTCAACGAAAGTCAGCCTGTGTTGGTTGTCGGAAAACGGCGGTTCAAAACGTTGGAGCCGAATTAATTTCCCACTGGGAGTTTTTGAGAAGAAATTAGCAAAAAAAAAAAAAACAAAAAAAAACTAAGGCCTAAGGGCGGGGGGTGAAAATATAATTATGTGGCTGGGGAAAAAACTAGTTATAATTAGCATGGAAATTAAGGAGCCTATGCAAGTGAGGCAAGAGACAAGTTCGCAATTGAAAACAGTTGAAAAGAAAAGAGAGAAAAGAAGAGAAGCGTAGTAGATGATGATAAGGAGGGAAATGAAAGAGAGAAGAGAGAGGAAGACAGGTAGAGAAATATCGAGTCAATAAATAAAGAGAACGTGGAAATGTATGAAGGGTGTGGAAATGTTTTGAACCCAACGATATGTCAGAGTTTGAAGTAGGTAAATCCGAGAACATTTCAGCACGACATATATATTTCTTCATATATATATATATATATATATATATATATATAAATAAAGAAATATAGTCTTAAGATGTGCTATATTTAAGGGATAACGTGCTCAATATCAGACATAATGCGTGTGTAAATACAAAAGTAAACATAGAAGTAAAAACTTAGAGTCGACAGTCTGTTTCATGCCAGATGCAATCGTCAGGTCACAGTCTGTTTCATGCTAGATGCAATCGTCAGGCTATATATATATATATATATATATATATATATATATATATAAGGTGGATATAAATATAAATAAATATATATATGTATTATTATTTATATATTATAAGCGCTCAATATCAGAGATAAAGCTAACATATTTGCTTGGATAGACAATCGCCAAAGCGTGAAACCCAGGGTCACAAACTCACATCTATCCAACCAAATATATATATATGTATATATGTATGTATATATAGAAAAAGTTTCAAATTGAAAATTATAATGTTTTTTTTTATGAAAGTATTTATTTATTTATATATATATTTGATATTTCAAATTGTCCTCAATTTTTCATCAGAAATAACTGTTTGTTACAAATAAATTAAAATTACTGTTTGTTAGTAAGTAGCGTTCCTTATCTAAAAAAAAAAAAAAAAAATTGCTTAACTATTGAAATATTTATAAAGATTTAAAACACCTAAGTCCCTATTCAACCCTAGTTTATGTGTATTTAATTTTAAAATCAATATGTTTCTTTTTTTTTTCTGCGTGTGAATGTTGAAGTAAAATCGGAATCTATTAATAAACATTTGCAGTTTTCTAATGTGTGTCCTGATTGATTGTAGTGTTTAGCTATGGGGGAATAAGGGTTGTTTTGACGTATTGTTTGTTTATGGTTATTAAAACGAAATCTAAAATTGTTTCCAGACTCACCAATATATCCACTATTAGGACATAAGTTGCAGAATAAATAATAGATTACGTTATGGGTATCGCAGGTGAGGTTAGGTGGCTGTATCCTGATATTGGTGTTGGGTACTGAAAATGTATTAGCTATTATTAAATGTTTGCAAACTAAGCAACGAGGTTTGTTACATTTGTAATTTCCTGTTTGGTTTCTATTGTTTTATATATTTGGTAGAGGTGAGGATAGCTGATAAGTTAGGTGATTGTTTCATTGCATTTATGGGTGGTTTATCGAAAATGTCTTTGATCTTGTTGTCTAATTGGAGGTTCTTGTAATCATTTTTTTAATTTGTGAATAAGTGTGTGCGAATATTGATTGTGGTTAAAAACCATGGGAATCCGATTGTTGTTTTTATTTTTCTTGGATGTGAGAAGTGAGTTACGATTTATCAGGATAGTTTTGTTTAGTGCTTCTTTTATTATTTTTTATTGGGTATTTGCATATTAGGAATTGTTTTGTTAAGTTATTAATGTTGTATAGAAAATCTAAATGGTCTGAGCATATGCGTTTGATTCTTAGAAATGAGCTATATACAATAGAATTTTTTTAATTTAAAGGGATGACAGCTGTTAAAGTGCAGGAATTTATGTTGGTTTGTGGGTTTGTTGTATAGACTGGTAGAAAGTGTATGTTTGTTTAATTTTATCATAACGTCTAAGAAAGGGATGGATGTGTATGAGTGCTCCATGGTAAATTTAATTGTATCGTGGAAATTGTTGCAGAAAGTGAAAAAGGTTTTTAATTTTTCTGATCCATGAGTCCATAGTAAGAAAATGTCATCAATATATCTAAAGTAATGTGATGGTTTATATTCTGAATTGTCTAGTATCTTCTTTTCTAGAATGTGCATAAAGATATTAGCATAACTAGGTGCCATTTTTTGTGCCCATTGCTGTGCCACTAATCTGTAAATAGTGTTTGTTGTTGAATTTAAAATTATTATGTGTTAAGATGAAATTTATTAATTGGCATATATCTGTAATTTGGTAGTTAGGTAATTTTTTGTTACTAAGGAACTCATAGCAAGATGATACTCCTTCAACATGTGGAATGTTCGTGTAAAGGGACGAAACATCCATCGCTACTAGGATTGTATCATGGTGGACTAAGTTAATGTTTTGTAATTTGTTGAGAAAGTCAGTAGTGTCTCTAATATAACTGGGTATGTCAGGCAATAAAGGTTTTAGGATATTGTCTATATACCCAGATATAAGTTCTGTGAGGGTACCAATGCCTGATATTATGGGTCTACCAGGTGGCATTATTTTAAGGGTTTTTGAAATTTCATAGATGTTCTCTTCATTATTTGATTGTGTAATTTGATGTGGGTCGGATGAAAAAGTGTTAGGGTGTTATGTATATATATATATATATATATATATATATATATATTTATTTATTTATTTTATTACAAGCTTCATTGTAGTTTTATCCAGCCAGTTACCACTGTTTTTTATATATATATATATATATATACATCCAGTTTCATGCTTACACGCAATCGCCAGGCCATGAGGATTGAACACAAGCAGGAAACAGACAGAAAACCCAATAACGTTGTTGCTCTTGTATATAAATATCTGTTGCAAAATAAAATCCTAATTTTTGTTTTGTTTCTTCGAAGGAAGAAACGCGTCAGCTAACATAAATTTTTCTTTTTTTCTTTATTCATATTTTTTTATATATATATATATATATATATATATATATATATATATATGACACTGAAGTGAACATTAAAGTCAACAACCAGAGGTCTCTGGGTGTTGACTTCATTGCTCTATTGCTGATATTGTGCTTATTAACCCATAAATATAACATACTATATGACTATATTTATCGTATATAATTTAGTTCAATATATATATATATATATATATATATATATATATATATATATATAAAAAGTATATAATACGTTCAAGTTATATATATATATATATATATATATATATATATTAAAATATACCAAATGCCTACAATTGGTCTTAAAATTAACAAGTCAAGGGCTCAAGATCAAGAGACAAACCTTATTTATATTATGAAATGATAAAATAGCGTTGCCTCGTATTATTATCAAAATTATCTTTAAAAAAGAAGCGAAGAAGAAAAAACAATAGAGCGAAATACATAACAAGAAATAAGAAGAAAGAAAGTAAAATGAAGGAAAAAATAAAAGAAAAAGAAATTAAAATGAAAGAAAAGTCATGGAGCGGAAGAAAGAAAAAGAAGCATAAGAAAATCATGAAAAAGAAATGAAGAGAAAGAAAGAAAGGGAGAAAGAAAGAGTGAAAGGAAGAGGAGAACTGAAGAAAAAGAAATAAGTGAAAACTTAATGAAAAAGAAATAGAGAAAGAAAAGCAAAGAAAGGAAGGGAGAAAAATAGAGCAGAAGAAATAAAAGAAAAGGAATAAAAAGAAAGAGTATGAAAAGGAAAGAAAAAAAAATGCAGCGGAAGTAATAGATAGAAAGAATGAAATAATGTAGAGAATGAAAGACTCAAGGAATAAGAAAATAAAGAAGGGATGAATGAAAAAAAAACGAAGGGGAAAGAGGAAACGAAGGAAAAAAGAATAAAAACAGGAAACGAAGGAAAAAATGAAGAGAAAGAGACAACGACGGAGAAATGAAGAAAAAAAGAAACGAAGGAAAAGTGAAGAAAAATTGGAAATGAAAGAAAAATAAAGAAAAATTGGAAATGAAGGAAAATTAAGAAAAAAAAAGAAACGGAGGAAAAGTGAAGAAAAAGTGGAAATGAAAGAAAAATAAAGAAAAATTGGAAATGAAGGAAAATTAAGAAAAAAAAGAAACGAAGGAAAAGTGAAGAAAAAGTGGAAATGAAAGAAAAATAAAGAAAAATTGGAAATGAAGGAAAATTAAGAAAAAAAAAGAAACGAAGGAAAAATGAAGAAAAAGTGGAAATGAAAGAAAAATAAAGAAAAATTGGAAATGAAGGAAAATTAAGAAAAAAAAAGAAACGAAGGAAAAATGAAGAAAAAGTGGAAATGAAAGAAAAATAAAGAAAAATTGGAAATGAAGGAAAATTAAGAAAAAAAAGAAACGAAGGAAAAGTGAAGAAAAAGTGGAAATGAAAGAAAAATTGGAAATGAAGGAAAATTAAGAAAAAAAAAAAAAGAAACGAAGGAAAAATGAAGAAAAAAAAGTGGAAATGAAAGAAAAATAAAAGAAAATTGGAAATGAAGGAAAATGAAGAAAAAAAAAAGAAAAAAAAGAAAACGAAGGAAAAGTGAAAAAAAATGGAAAATGAAAGAAAAAATTGAAGAAAATGAAGGAAAATTAAGAAAAAAAAAAAGAAACGAAGGAAATATGAAAAAAAATGAAAAAAAGTGGAAATGAAAGAAAAATAAAGAAAAATTGGAAATGAAGGAAAATTAAGAAAAAAAAAAAAAAAACGGAGGAAAAGTGAAGAAAAAAGTGGAAATGAAAAAAAAAAAAAGAAAAATTGGAAATGAAGGAAAATTAAGAAAAAAAAAAAAAGAAACGAAGGAAAAGTGAAGAAAAAGTGGAAATGAAAGAAAAATAAAGAAAAATTGGAAATGAAGGAAAATTAAGAAAAAAAAAACGAAGGAAAAATGATGAAAAATTTGAAATAAAGAAAAATGAATAAAAAAAGGAGACGAAGGAAAAATGAATAAAAAGGAGAAGCGAAAGAAAAAATGAAGATAATGAGAAAGCAAATGTAAAATGAAGGGAATGAGGAAACGAATGAAAAATAAAGAAAAAAAAAGAAAAGGGAAAACGTAGAAAAAAGTTGAAACGAAGAAAAAAAAAACGAAGGAAAGAAGAAAGGAAGGAAAAAGGAAGAGAACTAAGAAAAATATTTTTGAAATGTAAGAAGAAACATTTTATATGCATTCATCTGGTTCAATGCTATAATGATGACATGTTTTGTAAATACTGACCATCATGACCATTGCTTAACTTCCGTGATGAGCTCAGATCCGGTGAATTTAACATGATCTGACCATGTCACTCCTGATCAGAGTCAGAAAGGGAAAGTGCTTTTGAAAATAGCGAATAAACCTGAGAGTATTGATTGGCTTTTTTGGAACACAAATGTCACATTTGTCAAGAACATGGTGGCAGTGGCATTCGACTAGAATTGGGAAAGGTGCGTTACCGAAGTCAGGTAACTACTGCAGGTAGTTGCAGCAACGCCAGCATTTGAAGTGGCGGGCGGGAAAATAAAAGTGCGGGGCGGTTGGGTTGCGCGCGATTGGAAGAGAGTAGAGATTGTTTCGTGCAAGAATGGGAAACGGAGGAGGCGAAAATCCTTGAAAAGAGAGAGTCAAGCGATGACATCGTCACTGCAACAACAATAGCAACAGTAACATCAGCAACAGCAGCATCAATAATAATAATAATAATAATAATAATAATAATAATAATAATAATAATAATACTTAAATCTATCAGCCACTACCGTATCGTCAATGCTCCTCATAAAATCCCTCTGACCTTTCCTCTCGTCAATTTAATATAAAGAATCATAATATTAATAAAGCAAGCGCCCTCCCACTTACTAACACCGTACAGAGTTAATGTATTCTCATTATTTACATTCAGACTAATATCCTCATCTTTGTTGTTATTATCACAACGTTTTAGCCTTTGTCCTTTCCAGCCTTCTGTAGATGCCTATCGATCTTAGGCACTTTAACGAAATCTCAAACTGAACATATCCACAAACTTCCCAGAAGTTTTCACGGATCAATATACACTTGAAAAAGGTCGGGGGTCACAACGGCTGAACCTTTGAAAGATATTAGTACAAACGTAAATAATTTAAGGAATGATAATTTCTTATCCTAGAAAATTGTAGTCCAATTAATTTTCAATTAAAATCAATTCATTAAAATTAACATTCCTTAAATAATCAATATATATGTTGGCGTGGATTATATATTATTGAAAAAAAAGTTATCGGTGGTTCGATATTAGAAGAGGCTGGGGTGGAATATAGAAAAAAAAAAAGAAAGAATTTCGCCGGCGACTTGAGAAAGGCATGAAGCCATTTCTCCCTGTATGCTTCCACAGATAACTAGACGAAGCGTCAATGAAATTCTCAGTTGATTGATAATAAAGAAATGTAAATCGATCAGTTCGACAGATTACTACGCGATAACAAATTTATCTGCTCATCTCGTAGGAGAAAGGCTGCTGCCGTCATTGTCAGCCGTGACGAGAATTTCAATAAATTATAAAAACGAGGCAAAGTAAAAGAAGGGAGCGCCGCATCTAAGTTTAGAAATAAAAAAAAAAATGCAGTCTCATCAAAATGATTGAATAAATTGAGAGGAAATTTAGTCATTTATTTTTATTGCATTTGACAAAGATTTTCAAATCCATTCATTTGGGATTTTGATCCGTGAATAAAAATATTGACGTATTTAGGAAGAAAATAAAAAAAAAAATATCATTTAGGAAAAAAAAAAAATTATTGAACAAAATTTCTTCCTCTTTCGTCCTTTCTCGTTCTCCCCCTCTCTTTATATTTCTCCCCCTCTCTTTCTATCTAGGCTCTTCCTTTCTCACTCTCTCTCTCTCTGTCATTCACTCTTTTTATCTTTCTTCCCTTTCTTTCTTTCTTTCTTTCTTTTCTCCGCTCTCACTCACCTTATATCTCTCTCTCACCCTCTCTCTTTATCCCTCTCCCTCTCTTTACCTCTTTTTTGCCCTGTCTCATTCCCACTGTTTCCCTTTTTCTTTCTTTCTCTCTGTCTCTTTATCCCTCTCGTTGTATCCCCGAATTTTTATTATCTCTCACCTTCTCTTTCTCCCTCTCTCTTCCACCCAACATCTCTCTATATTTCTTCCTCTCTCCTATCTCTCTTTCTCCTTCTTTCTCTCCCTATCTCCTTCTCTTTCCCTCGCTCTCATTTTCTCTCTAGCTCTCATTCTCTCTTCCCACTCTCTCCAAACTCTCTTTATCTCTTTTCAGCATCTCTCTTATCTCTCTGTCTCTGTCTCTGTTTCTGTCTCTCTCTCTTTCTTTCTTTCTTTCTTTCTTTCTTTCTTTCTTTCTTTCTTTCTCTCTCTCTCTCTATATATATATATATACATGGGGCTGAATGCTGAAAATTCTTCGGTGTGACAAGGGATAAAATATAATTCTGATATTTTGTCATTTGATTAGATATTTGCAATTGGATCGAGCAAAGAACTTTTCAATACGCCCTCTGGATTTCGAAGAATCATCAAAAAATGGAGGGTTGTGCATCTTTATCAAAATTTACGACCTCACTTCGGCCCACACAGATTTGTTCTTCCCGAGGTGTTTTATCACATTATCAATAATAATAATAATAATAATAATAATAATAATAATAAGAAGAAGAAGAAGAAGAAGAAGAAGAAAATTAACTCACTACTATATAAATTTCATTAAACTTTCAGATCGTTTTACCGAATCTACCTTGTTGTCGCCAAACCTTTGGCCTATAGTACACACATACACACGCACACTCACACACACATATGAATATTTAGGCAGTATATTTCTTTTCAAATAGGATTGGTTAAGTAATTTAGACGTATTATGTATATTTATTTTAGTTTTAATCCTTTCAAGTCCACGAATTAATTTCTTGTAGCTGTAGAAAATTGATCAAATACCAAAATTTTCTTTCAAATACTTTTTATTTTCTCAAGTACTTTCAGTCCCATGCGAGACCATCTGCAGTAGGTAATAATAATAATAATAATAATAATAATGTGGCACATGGGAACATCAACAATCTCTGTTTTATTTGGAGCCCTCGGATTGGTTGGAAAAGATTCCAATAGACTCATTGAAGGGATTGCTGGTAGCCCATGCTTTAAAGGAATGCAAACAATTGTACTCAAAAGTACAGACGACACCTTACGAAGGGCTTTATCTATGTAAAAGATGTGTTTTCTGTTTGTTTTTCTCAAAAATGCTCAGTGGAAAATGCCATGAAGCCATTTCTGACCTTAGGTCTCTGGTTGGGAGCCGGAAAGTAATGAATATACACCAGAAATCAAAGGAAATAATAATAATAATAGTAATAATAATAATAATAATAATAATGATGTGGCACATGGGAACATCAACGATCTCTGCTGTAGTTGGAGCCCTCGGATTGGTTGGAAAAGCGTCCAGTAGACTAATTGAAGTGAAGTCCATGCCTTAAAGAAATACAAAAAATGTTCTCACAAGTACAGCCCACACCTTACGAAGGGCTTTATCTATGTATAATATATGTGTGTTGGTGTTATTTTTTTTTATTTTTTAAATTGCTCAGTGGAAAATATCATGATGCCATTGCTGACCTTAGACCTCTAGTGGGACGCAGAAAGAAATGAGTACACACCGGAAATCAGAACAAAATAATAATAATAATAATAATGATAATAATAGTGGCATATGGGAACATCAACAATCCCTGTTGTAGTTGGAGCCCTAGGACTGGTTTGAAAAGATTCCAGTAGACTAATTGAAGGGATTCCTGGAAGTCCATGCCTCAAGGAGATACAGAAAATTGTTCTGACAAGTAGCAGCCCACACCTTACGAAGGGCTTTATCTATGTAATTTAATTTTTTTTTTTTTTTTTTGTCAGTGGAAAGTGTCATGACGCCATTTCTAACCTTAGGTCCCTGGGCGGGACCCGGAAAGAAATGTGTAAACGCCAGAAATCAAAGAAAATAATAATAATAATAATAATAATAATAAGTTGGGAAATACAAAAGTTGCATCCCTTTCATGGAAGACAAAGATTGGGAATTTGGAATTGATATAGAAATTGAAAGAAAATATTGTATTTTTCTGTCAGAGCAGGTGCTATAAAAATATTCGTAGAAAAGCCAAATGGGAAACCACCTCACGTCGGAAAGGATGGATTATATAAGAGATGTACAGCAGGAGCATCATATATGATAAGAGTTTTCAATGCCGGACAAATGGTAGATTTGTAAATATACAAAATGGATTCTGATGATAAATTTCTAGCACAACACATTGACCCAACTTTCCTTGCAGTAGATGCAGTTTTTGATTTGATGTAGTCGCTCCACTTCATGTTAGTAGAAAACGTGAGGCCAAGAAGGCGCAATGTTTGCTCTCCCGTTATATATATATATATATATATATATATATATATATGAAGAAAAATATACGGAAAAAAACAAACAAAAATCCTAATATGCAATTATGCTGTTTTAATGTTAATATAATGTCAACGTCGGACATTTCAGTGTAATAGACCATCTTCAGGACATATTCATAAAACATAATTAACATAGACCATATTCAATTCAACATGAAAAAGACGATGGACATTAAAACAGCATAATTGCATATTAGGATTTTTGTTTGTTTTTTCCGTATATTTTTCTTCATACTGTCGGATCTATATCCATATATTTGCTTACATATATATATATATATACACCGAATAGTTGGGTTGGTTTGTTTTGTTTTACGGCATATCAACCACTATGGGTTATTAAATGCCGACAATATTATTGCTCGTAATATTTTTCATGAATGTATTGTTGCTAATTTTCTTTCCTTCAAAAAATATATTGCTGGTGACATTTTTTCCTTCAGAAATCTATTTCTGTTAATATTTTTTCTTCAAAAACATATCGCTGGTAATATTTTTTCAAAAAATGTATAACTGGTAATTTTTTTCAGAAATGTATAGCTGATAATATTTTTTTTTAAAATGTACATTTTGGTTTGGTTTGTTTTACGGTATATCAACTTCAATGGGTTATTTAATACCGACAAAATTTTTACTGCTGGTAATATTTTTTTCCAAAAATGTATTGCTGGTAATAATGTATTGCTGGAAATGATTTTTTACTTAGTATTTTTGGAACTAAAACCCATTTTTACACTTTCATAATTTTTGACCCCAGTTTGGGGGTTAACTCTCTGCCTATAGCTGGGACCCTAACAGGTGCTACAACCCCGGGAACACCAGCGATTAAA